CAACTGTTTTTTTGTCTTGAACTAACCTTTCTGTGTCATAATGATACTTCCACGTTTTAATATTTTTTTTGAATCAATAATAAATTCAGTTTTAGTTTTTTTAAAAACTTCTTTATTATAATCACATTTCCATGCATTAAAACGTGCTTCGTTTGGGAGTGTAACGCTAAGCTTCCATAAAACGCGGCGTATAAATGAAATACAAAAAAATATCTGCAATAACGAATGGAGGATAAAAATGGTTTTAACAAACCAAAAAAAACGTTAAAAATAGCAATGGAAGATATACTAGTATAAAAGTTCATTTTTTTATCATTGTTAACTAGTCTCCAAATTTTTGTTCGAATTTTACTGTTTTTTTTATTTTTAATTTTTTTACCTGATTAGTATGGCTATTTACTTTACTCGCATAAGAAGTGATAAGTGAAGATTTGTATTCGCATGAATTACATTTATTTGGTAGTGGTAAACTCAATGAATACGTATGGTCTGATAATATAGCTGATAAAACATCTGCATTAAAACTAACACCTGGAAACTCCGTGAAAATACTTTTTTCAGTCAACAAAGGTTCTACAGGTTGCATATTACTAGAACATGGTAAAGAAGTGATTGGGTTTTTTAATAAAGTTCTTCAAGCTTTTTTATGTTCAGGTTGATCAAAACCCACATTTATTTTTGGATTAGGGTTCAAACAGTTTTATCAACAAAATGATCAGAGTATACTCTATCAGCAATTGAGCAGCCGTGGCGCAGTGGTAGCACACTTGCCTCAGAAACAAAGGATCCGTAGTTCAAACGCTACCTCTGGGCAAGTTTTTCGACATCGATTAGGAAGGAGGCGTGAACTTCCAAATAAATGCTCATCCGCGGTGCTCTGTGATAAGACCGTTATGACTTCTTGGGGCACTTAATTTAAATTAATTAAAAAATAAAAAATAAAAAAAGTTCCGGGTTTCCAAGTATTTTCTTTCTTTTTTCCATCTCTTCTAAGCTTACTAATTCAGTGTTTTTATTTAATTATATTGAAATTTACTAATATTGACATTTGTAACTTTTGGAATTTTTAGCTCGGATGCATTAGTTTGGGCGTCCACACTAGTCAATTTCACAAATATAATTATAAACTGCTTGTAGACTTATGAATTTTAATATTAATTACTTAAAATTAATTTATCTTCATTTCTTGATTTAAAACAAAATAAATTTAATTAAATTCTTAAAAAAAAAAAAATTATTTTGTTATTTAGTTTTCTTAGTTTTAGTTCTTAGATTTCTTATTTTACTTTTTCTTCCTACTGTTTCTATAGAAACCATATAAAATATAAAAATAAAACCATATAAAAAATAAAAATTAACAAATATTTCATTTGCTTTGCATATAACAAATCAACTTAATTAAAATTAATTAAATTATTTAACTTATTGCAAACCTAATAATCAAATATTGTATTGTCATCAAGCATGAGTATGTATGCAAAATTTGAAGAAAATCTATCATCAAGAAGTGACTCAAAAATTGATTACGAGATTTGATGTTAACAGACAGACAGCGACGAGGGAAAAAATTGGGAAGAATAAGAAGAAAAAGTGAAATAAGAAAACTAAAAGTAGTTAATAATAATAGAAATATTAAAAAAAATTTTTTTTTTTTAATTTATTAAAGTTTATTTTGTTTTAAATAAGGAAATGAAGATCAATTATTTTTAAGTTTTAATTTTTCAAACTCATTCACAACACACACATGACTTCAATTCCATTCACTGACTGAATCAAAATAGTACATGTAGCAGTAAAACAATCATAACAAAGTTGTATAAATTACATAATAAATCGCCTATGTAACATTTGTTTTGTAAATTGTGATCGAATATTACAGTAATAAATATTGTTTTGAGGTCTAGCGAAAATCAAACAAAGTATAAACTCAAACTGACATAGTTTCTTCAGAGCCGTTAAGAAGGAGGGGGGCGTAGGGGGAGGTGTCTAGCCCTCTAAGAATTTTATTAGTCGGCAAATTAGACACTAGAGTCGGCAAAATTGGATTAATAGCTGGAAGTCGGCAAATGTCGGAAAACGAGGAACTTTTTTTTTTTATGTAAGTTAGTGGGCAAAAAATTTTTTTGGCTATTGTCGGCAAAAAACAGACACGGTACCCCTCCTTTAAAATCTATTCGAGAAGGCCCTGAATTTCTTAACCAGTAAAAATTTCAAATAAAATTTTATTTAGAATTTTGTACGGCTATAAGCTACATATGAACCAATTTTTCTTTATTTATATGTAATGACTCTCATTTTACAGGTAATTTTACTGTCATAATTTAAAGCCAAAATTTCACTTAACTTAAACAAAAAATTAAAAGATTTCAAAATTTGCATCATAGGATACCTTAATGTAAACGCCATTATCCCATATAAATGGCGTTCTTAGGTCAGCTAGGTTGGCATTATCATGATGCGTGCAGTGCCGGATCATTTTCAAGTTCTGGCTCATAAAACGGCCTCCATAAACAAAAATAGCCCCGTGCCCAAAGAAATCTAGGATCCGTGTCAACCACGTACGATATTATTTGAACATTTGCGTTTCTTTAAAAAGTTAACGAAATTCTCGTTTATACGTAATTTCTTTATTGCAAAACTTTTTAGAATTAATAAAATATTTAAAAAATTGTCATAAAATACTATTATTATTAAAACAAAAACCGCCGTTAAAAAACACTCTTTAAGCTTTGTCGCGACTTTTTTTATGTGCATAATCCATCAATTTGAATCACTAAATATTAATTTTTTGATCTAAATTAAGATATTATATTTTGATTTTTTTTTTTAATTTAAATTTAAATTAACTAGAACAAAAGAATAAATTCATCTTCTCTAGCTTATGGTAAATTATTATCGTGAGAGTTAAAAAATATATCGGAGAACGTTTTTTAATATTCCATATCAAAATTCCTGAGGGAATCGTAATTGGTTCGTCTTTCAAATATAATTAAACAAATAAGTATATATAAGTATAATATATATATATATATATATATATATATATATATATATATATATATATATATATATATATATATATATATATATATATAAAATATATATATATATATATATATATATATATATATATAAATATATGAATATATATATAAATATATATGTATATATATATATATATATATATATATATATATATATATATATATATATATATATATATATATATATATATATATATATATATATATATATATATATATATATATATCGCAATAACAAAATCTTTGCATTCAAATAACTTTAGACTTAATAAAATAAGTTTAAACCAAAATTAAGTTTCATCTTTTTCAATTTTTATATTTAATAATACATGAAAAATTTTAAAATATAAAATTTTATAGCTATAAACAATAAAGCAAACAAAATTTTTTTTATATGAAAATTTATAAAAAAATAGAATTTTATTTATAAGAAGTAAATACGGATTTCTCTAACTTTTACAGAAAAAAATTCGTCAGTTATATTTTATCAACAGGTAAACTTTATATATATTAAAACTAATATAATAATCAAATAATTATACAACTCGTTTGCTGCTTTTCTAAATTATTCAAACAGCTTGCGATATTATGTTTTGTTTTCACTGTATTCGGATGGTTAATACCTAAAATTTCAGTTTGTATTTTATCAACAGAATAATAAATTTCTAAAGCTTCGTTATATTTTCCCATGTTGTCCAAACAGTTTGCGATATTATGTTTTGTTGTCATTGTAGACGGATGGATTGATACCTAAAATTTCAGTTTCTATTTTATCAACAGAATAATAAATTTCTAAAGCTTCGTTATATTTTCCCATGTTGTCCAAACACTTTGCGATATTATGTTTTGTTGTCATTGTAGACGGATGGTTGATACCTAAAATTTCAGTTTGTATTTTATCAACAGAATAATAAATTTCTAAAGCTTCGTTATATTTTCCCATATTGTACAAACAGTTTGCGATATTATGTTTTGTTGTCATTGTAGACGGATGGTTGATACCTAAAATTTCAGTTTGTATTTTATCAACAGAATAATAAATTTCTAAAGCTTCGTTATATTTTCCCATGTTGTACAAACAGTTTGCGATATTATGTTTTGTTGTCATTGTAGACGGATGGTTGATACCTAAAATTTCAGTTTGTATTTTATCAACAGAATAATAAATTTCTAAGGCTTCGTTATGTTTTCCCATGTCGTCCAAACAGTTTGCGATATTATGTTTTGTTGTCATTGTAGACGGATGGTTGATACCTAAAATTTCAGTTTGTATTTTATCAACAGAATAATAAATTTCTAAAGCTTCGTTATATTTTCCCATGTTGTCCAAACAGATTGCGATATTATGTTTTGTTGTCATTGTAGACGGATGGTTGATACCTAAAATTTCAGTTTGTATTTTATCAACAGAATAATAAATTTCTAAAGCTTCGTTATATTTTCCCATTTTGTCTAAACAGTTTGCGATATTATGTTTTGTTATCATTGTAGACGGATGGTTGATACCTAAAATTTCAGTTTGTATTTTATCAACAGAATAATAAATTTCTAAAGCTTCGTTATATTTTCCCATTTTGTCCAAACAGCTTGCGATATTATGTTTTGTTTTCACTGTATTCGGATGGTTAATACCTAAAATTTCAGTTTGTATTTTATCAACAGAATAATAAATTTCTAAAGCTTCGTTATATTTTCCCATGTTGTCCAAACAGTTTGCGATATTATGTTTTGTTGTCATTGTAGACGGATGGTTGATACCTAAAATTTCAGTTTCTATTTTATCAACAGAATAATAAATTTCTAA